GGTAAAAGAAAAAAATAAAACTACCAAAAAGATAAAAAACACACGAATTCGCGAGATGACAAACAAAAACTTCTATAAACCACTAATTTCACAAAAAACTAAAAATTTGCTCATCTATTTTTCCAAAACAGAAAAGTCTATGCTCTTTAATCTTCCAGTGTCTGCTACTGAAACAGATTGCTTGAATTTGCGCTGTCAGATTATTCTGATAGTTACTTTTGATTCAAAAATTTATCCGAATATTTCCAAATTCTAAATGACTAAAGCGCCAAACTGTGACTCCTCGATTTTCCAAACAGTAGCTTATTTTGAAAACCCCATTCTGGGTATCATAAATTTGAACAGGTGCAGCTCGTCCCAACAAATATCTACAAATTTTGTCGGGAAAAGCAACTGTTATATGTCCGAAAATACATTCACCAAAAGTTTTCAAACACTCCGTACGAAATCCCCAATTGCAGCTAAGTCCTCCTTCCCGCCCTGGATAGATCCCCTCAACGCTTACGAATGCACATCAATCCTTTGTTTCTCATTTGAGCTTTTTTCTTGTAAAATGCTAGACTGCAACATCAGTAGAAAGCTGTACTAAAAAGACACATCAGTAAACAATTTCCATTCCTTGACATTTCAGGTCCAAATAATGAAAATGTTGTTTTCAACAATAATTTTTTAAAATATGTGTGTTTTTTATGATGCCGATTTTGTATTTTTCGCAGTTATCGCATTTTTTATTTTTTGTAATAAAATTTTTTAAGCCGTATTTTCAATTTTTTATCAATATCAAAGACGTTGCTCAGATGAACCCGCATTTAAGAACATCCCAATAGTATCACTTACATCCGACCCCTACACTGAATGTCCGTGTGATCTAGTTAACCCCGGTGGTCCAAACCAGTGTTCCTATTGCAAAAAGTAGAAAGCATTATGCATCGTTGTAGAAGTTGATCCAATCATCCCAAAACTGTTCCTCAACGAAAGGCTCACTAGATGGTCACTAATGACAGCCTTTCCGTTTCTGAAAAGCACAATTAACCAAAAATATCGAGGGAGGAAAAGCAAACCCATTCACTGGAATCACTGCTGTCCACTGAACTCAGTGAGCTGAGTGAACTGGACCGATCCCGGATATGAATTGTTTCCTGGGACGATGTTGATGATTGCGATGCTGACGATAACGAAGACGAAGATGATGGCTTATCCAGGGACAGTAAAGGTGCACCGAGGCTGATACTGCTATTTGTTTTTGCTCGATTTCTACTGTACAAATTATTCGGCCTAACGCGGTACTTCAGCATCTGAAATACATTTTAAACATATACAAAATTTTGTCTCGAGTGGCCATGTGGCGCGAATGAGAAACAAAATACGGACATAGGGGAAACCTAATTATCAACAATTTTTTTACAAGAATTATAAAAAATTGGG